ACACAGCTGGTAACTTATCACTACACCGGCCCACTTCAAGTGCCACGTGACCGCTGTGACCAATAACAGCAGATCACATGTCGATTGTATAAAATGGATGGCTTCCTGTCATGCCATTCATTGTATACAATTGTTTTGTTAGCTGTGATTGAGCAAAGCAGTCACTTGGTACAGACAGGGCCAGTCACAGCCCATCTGTATCATGTGATGAGCTTTGCCCAACCACAGCTAATCACAACAAAAGACTGAATGAATTAGTTTCATTCAGTATCAATGCTTGCAAATATCAATGAAATACATTGGTATTAGCAATCATAATGTGTTAAAAAAAAAAAAAAATCCTGATCACTTGCCCAGAGTAGTTCCTTGTTACTATGTAACATTGTATTGCTTTGGTCACAGTGTGTTGAAAAAAAAATTGTAAAAAAAAAAGAAACAATAATGTAAATAAAAAATAAAATAATATTAGAAAAATTTGAAAAAAATATAAATGTAATTATTATTATTTTTTTTACATACTGTCACCAGTCAGTGTCCCTGATCACTGCCACACCAGTTATATAATAACACTGGACTGGCTATATGTGTTTCCACACAAGAAAATAACTTTAAAGTGTACTCTAGATGGTATAGAGTTCCATCTCTGCTTCACCGCTTTAACCCCAATGTCCCGGGTTTGTGCTGGAGATGCCATCGAACGACAGGCACACTCCTACACATTTGGTGGGAATGCTCATTGTTGCAAACCTTTTGGGAGAAAGTTCAATCTATAATTACACAAGTTACCACGTACGCCCTAGCCCTTTCCCCCGCACAATTTCTGCTCTATCATACGGTACTTCCATTTCGGACATATCGCAAATCACTCGCCTTGCATATGGTAAATGCGGCTAAGCAATGTATCCCAGTCCACTGGCGCTCAACACATGTTCCCGCTATACGAGAATGGTTTACCCGGATTGACAAAACTGAGGAAATTGAGGAACTGATTTCTGTAGCTAAGGAACATCCCGAGAGATTCAGGAAAACATGGGCATGCTGGAATCATTTCAAATCCACCCCTATCACCTAATAGTACACGATCAACCAAGACCATCTGGCTGAATGTCTAACTACAATACTATAGGGGGGATATATTCTGATAACCGAAGACACTTTTCTCACACACAAAGATGGTATGTTCATTTATATCTCAACATGCCTTCTGGGGTTTTTGATACCTGCGTTACCCCACCCACCGATCCTTCACACATCCTATATTTTAAGCTCTAGCAATACCTGTCTGGCTGGGCCAAAACATGAGGATGTAACGCCTTCTCCCCCCCCCCCTTTTTTTTTTTTTTTTCTCTTCCCCAACATCTCACCCTATAATTCTTCCTTCTACAGTCTTTCTTTCTAACCTCTTGTCTTCACACCTGTTATTTCCCTGTACCAGCTCTTCTTTACCAACCAAATAGAGCATCTACCTGCACACAGATATGACTATCGTCAACCATAAACACATACGCTAGCTATAAATATGTAAACAATGACCGTCACAATACCCAACGCTTTCCCTACCTTTGCCCCTATCATCACTCTACTTTACCATTGAAAAGTTGATGAGAGTCAGGACGAGATAGCATTCTCTGACAGCATCTTATCCATTTTCTTCTTTGGTATCCTCCATTTGACTTTTTAAGATGGATGTACTGTTCTACATGATTTCGTCATGCACAACTGTTTACAATTTGTCTCGTTTGCGAAATGGAAAGCAACATGTCATGTCTATGTTTTAACTGTGTTCTATTGCTGTTACATGCTCTAAATGCTTTTGTCTTCTCTTAAAACAATAAAGTATTTTTGGAAAAAATAAACAAAAATGGTGATTTTATTTTTGTTTTAATATTTCTACATTTTTCAAAAACTATAACAAAAATTACAACCTCCCCAAAAAAACTCACCATGCCTCTTACAAAATACCTTGGACTGTCTATTTTCCAAAAATGGGTAATTTTGGGGGTATTTTGTACTATGCTGGCGTTTTTCAGGCCTCAAGAAAATTAGATTGGCTGTCAATACACTGATTGATCGGTTGTCAGATATATATACCATGGTTTGTGGACTCTATAACTTTCCTACAGACTAAATAATATACACTAGTTTGGGGTATTTTCACCAAAGAAATGTAGCAGAATACATTTTAACCTACATTTATGAAGAAATGTTATTTATTTGCAAATTTTTTAACAAAAACAAAGAAAAAGGAGTTTTTTTTTTTTCAAAAAAGTTTCAGTTTTTTTTTTTTATTTAGCAAAAAATTAAAAAACTCAGTGGTGATTAACCGTTTCAATACCGTGCAATTTTACACCTTCCTGCCCAGGCCATTTTTCAGGTTTCAGCGCTCTCACACTTTGAATGACAATTGCGCGGTTCATACAACACTGTACCCAAACTAAAATTTTATCATTTTCTTCACACAACTAGAGCTTTCTTTTGGTGGTATTTAATCACCGCTGGGGGTTTTTATTTTTTGCTAAATTAACAAAAAAAGAACCAAAAATTTTGAAAAAAAAAACACATTTTTCTTTGTTTCTGTTATAAAGTTTACAAATAAAATAATTGTTCTTCATAAATTTAGGCGAGATGTATTCTGCTACATGTCTTTGGTGAAAAATAACCCAAATTAGGATGTATTTTTTAGTTTGTAGGAAAGTTATAGAGTTCAAAAACTATGGTATAGATCTGAAAATTGATCAATCCTGAAGTACTGACGGCCAATCTAATTTCTTGAGGTCCAAGAATGTCAGAAAAGTACAGATATCCCCAAATGACCCTTTTTGCAGAGTAGACAGTTCGACGTACTTCATAAGAGGCATGGCGAGTTTTTTGAAGTTAGTATTTTTTTGTCATAAATTTTTTTCGGAAAATGAAAAAATTAAAAAAATTATTTTCACTATATTTTTTTTTTACATACTGTCACCAGTGCAGTACAGCGTCATCATATAACTGGCATGGCGGTGAACAGGGACACTGACTGGTGACAGTATGAAAAAAAAAAAATATATATATATATATATTTTTATTATATTTAATTTTTTATTACATTTTTTTTTTTATTTTTTAAAGATTTTTTTTCATATTTTTACTATGACCAAAGTAGTGCAATGTTACCATAGTAACATTGTACTACTTTGGGGAAGTGATCAGTATTTTTTTTTTTTTTTTTTTTTTTACACAATTTGCTTATAGCAAAGAATTACTTTGCTATAAGCAAGCATTTACCTGAATGAAATCGATTTCATTCAGCTTTTTTTTTTTTTTTGTGCTTAGCTGTGATTTGGCCACAGCTAATCACATGACATGTGCATGTGATTAGCTGTGACCATTCACAGCTAAGGCACTAGTATACAATGGATGGCATCATGAATGAAGCCATCCATGTATACAACTGTCACTGTGACCTGCTGTGATTGGTCACAGCAGGTCACATGGTACCAGCAACGGGAGCCGGTACTCGGATCTGTCATCGGCCGTGTCCGAGGTGCACGGCCGTGACAGATTGCACTGCTGCGCCGCTCTGCAGTCGCGCAAACGGCGCACGTGCGGGGAGCACGCCAAATGGCGTGCACCCGGAATGGAGAGACACATCTGAAGCCGCCAAACGCCATTGGCCGGGCGCTAATGGTTTAAATACCACCAAAAGAAAGCTCTATTTAGTGTGAAAAAAATGATAAAAAAATTTTCATGGGTACAGTGTTGCATGATCGCACAATTGTCATTCAAAGTTGCGACAACACTGAAAGCTGAAAATTGGCCTGGACAGGAAGGGGGTAAAAATGCCCGGTATTGAAGTGGTTAAGACTGAACCACTTATCCAACTTCATTATGAGCCTGCGTGTCTTTTGTAGGGACCTAAGATTAAAACAGCTTTCTCACAATGATACATTTACCATTTAAAGAATTGTATATTGCCATCATATCCACAGTTAAATGTCTCTTCTTCAGGGGAGCAGTTTTGGATTGCTAATGGTGACCATTCAGTTTTCTCATTATTATGCCTTTTTACTTAGTATTTTGCCACCCAGGTTGAGACCCCATATCCCCCCCCCCCCCCCACACATACACACACACACGCGCGCGCGCGGTCACCCTCATAACTACAACCCAGATCATGTTGCTGGCAAGTTAAAACTGCAGGATCTCAAAGGGTCCTGCTGAGAGCAAGTTAAAACTTCAGGATCCCAACCAGGGGAGTAACTAGAAATCAAAGGGCCTCAAAGCAAAAGTTTGTATTTGGACCCCAAACGTGTTCTTTATGCAGCACCCAACAGTCATTGTTTATATTCTTAAACCAAGAGGTAAAGGAAAAAGGCAATAGTCAGTAACTGGAAAAATGCACCAGTGTAAGTGTTCAATAATAAGAAATTCCTGCATCAGTGGCCCGCAGGAGAGAAAAAGTCCTGTCAGTCAGTAGGAGGGGGAGAAAAACTGCCCTTACTATGATGTTGAAGGAAATAATGGCTTGCATCAGTAATCAAGGACAGGAAAAAAGTGCCCTGATGTCAGTGCTCAGTATGAAGAAACTAATGCCCTGGTGTTAGTGGCCAATAGGTGGACAAAAATGCCCTGGTGTCAGTGGCCAGTGCAAAGAAATGAATGCCCTGGTGTCAGTGGTCAGTACAAAAAGAAATGAATGCCCTGGTGTCAGTGGTCAGTACAAAAGAAATGAATGCCCTCGGTGTCAGTGGTCAGTACAAAAGAAATGAATGCCTGGTGTCAGTGGTCAGTACAAAGAAATGAATGCCCTGGTGTCAGTGCTCAGTACAAAAAATTAATGCTCTGTGTCAGTGCTCAGTACCAGGGGCAGACTGACAACTCATGGGGACCCCGGGCAATAGGGGATGATGGGGCCCCTGTGTCCTTGCCCAAACTCAAAAAAGCCTATGAAAAAGGTACATGGGGCATCTCATGGGGCCCCCTACTGACCCCGGGCCCTCGGGCAGTGCCCGAGTTTCCAAAATGGTCAGTCTGCCCCTGCTCAGTACAAAGAAATGAATGCCCCTGGTGTCAGTGGTCAGTGCAAAGAAATGAATGCCCTGGTGTCAGTGCTCAGTACAAAAGAAATTAATACCCTGGTGTCAGTGGTCAGTACAAAGAAATGAATGTCCTGGTGTTAGTGCTCAGCAGGGGTGGACTGACCATTCGGAAACTCAGGCACTGCCCGAGGGCCCGGGGTCAGTAAGGGGCCCCATGAGATGCCCCTGGTACCTCTCATAGGCTTTTTTGGGTGTGGTTTGAGTGTGGGCGAGGACACAGGGGCCCCATGATCCCCTATTGCCCGGGAGCCCCATGAGTTGTCAGTCCGGCCCCTGGTGCTCAGTACAAAGAAATTAATGCCCTGATGTCAGTGGTGAATACAAAGAAATGAATGCCCTGGTGTCAGTGGTCAGTACAAAGAAATTAATGCCCTGGTGTTAGTGCTCAGTACAAACAAATGAATGCCCTGGTGTCAGTGGTCAGTACAAAGAAATGAATGCCCTGGTGTCAGTGCTCAGTACAAAGAAATGAATGCCCTGGTGTCAGTGGTCAGTAGGAAGAAAATAATACCTTGGTGTCAGTGGTCAGTGGGAGGGCAAAAAAGCCCTGATGTCAATGGTGATTGCTCCAGTAATAGTGATCATGAGAAGAAAAAAATGTCTTCTTGTTGGTTGTGAGTAGGAGGAAGGAAACCCCAATATCAGTGGGATGAAGGAATGACCCCACAATTGATGTCATTTGGAGAAAGAATGTAAGGAACTCTAAAAGCAGTTGGAATGCTCTGCAAGGGACTGTGGTGAAATCTGTGGGGGCTCGAAGACTCTGCATTTGGCATTTGGCATAAGGATTTTTGCAGAGGCTCAGTGGGGGCATTGTGAGCAGAAGTGGGCTGAGAAGCACTGTGGAGGGCTGGGGCACTACACTGTAGGAGCCTGTGGCGAAAGTAGAGGGATCACTTCATTGTAGGGGGGTAGTGTGAGCATTTGCAGGGAACAGTGTACAACAGAGAATGCTGCTTCACTTCCCTTCCCACCTACTGTTTAGTTCTGCTACACAGTAAATATAAGTGCCCATGAAACTTCCCCTTCATCCTCTGTGACATTCATTATAGGGAGAGAACAAATAGGACTTTACTCTTAGGTGTGCTGACCAAAGCTCTGTAGCTGCTCTGTCCTGTGGTGAACTAAACTAACAATACACAATAAAAAATAATTTGGATGCCCTTGATTTTACCCTGGGAGATGACTACTTTTGGTTTAACAATCGATTTTAGAAACAAGTGACTGGAGTTGCTAGAGGGGGAAATTTGTCCCAAGTGTGGCCAATAGTTTCAGGGCCAAAAGAGAATTTGAAAGTGCTTGAAATAATAAACTGGAGGAAATATAATATTGTATAAATGATACATGAATGGCATCATTTTTGTATGGAAGGAAGAGAAATTTCCCCCCAAAAAAACCATGTCAAGACTTGACAATTATTATGCATGGCAAGACCACTTATTGTTATCTCACATATATATTCCTATTATTATAGCCAAATTTACCACCCTAACTCCTCCCACAGTTTTTACACTACATAGACAGTAATATACCGTAACGTGCGGATTGTTCCCGATTGGTGTGCTATTACTTTGTGGAACGTTTCGGTTCACGAAACATCGCCATTTTTGTGATGAAATTGGTCCCATAGGAATGAATGGCGGAATGTTCAAAACTAGAGTGGGAGCTGACAAAGCTAGAGTGTGAGCTGAAAGATCAGGACATGATTTCTAAACTGCCATCACTCCCTCATTTTCAAGCCCACCTACGCAAATCTTATATCAAAATGTTCAGCGATCCCTGCTGCCAATAAAAATGTCCACGGCTAAGCCATAGTCCTGATAGTTTTCACAATATGACCATTTGTTTGCAACTCACGCCGCCCATTGACATTCATTGAAACTCCACTCTAGCCACCTGTGGGAGGGGCGAAACACATTGACGCATTTCCGGTCTGCCGTCCTTACGTCCTACGTCATTTCCGGTGAGTGGAACGCACGCTGAGGGGTTCGTTCCAAGCGGCCATCTTGATTGCTGGATCTGGGTTTCTATCCTCTGTAAACTAACAGGCTGTGAGGTCTCTGGATTGGAGTGTGATCCTATGGATATTTTGATAACCTATGGAGGCAAATAAATCTATGCTTTCTATTTATCTTTAACATGTGAGTGGCCTGGTAATATTTATAATACTACAATAGGTATAGCAGCAGTATTACGCTATGGTATATGTTTTTTTTTTTTTTTTTTTGGACCGCGGTGGAGTTCATATGAGGAGTGAGTGGAATCATCTAGCCCTGCAAAGCGATTTAGGAGTTCTGGAGGAGATAGAGGGGGTTTAGGATCCTTAAAATTCTAAAAGGCGCATAACTCACCAATATCTGGTGAGTGCGGTTGATTTTGATTCACTCTGGTGGATGGTGGAAGCACTCTTTTTGGGAGAAATCATTACACCTATGTTTTTTTTGGGATAAAAGGACTTCATGAACAATTTTTGTGGACACTAATATTATATTTTTTGGCACTTTATTTAAACAGTTTTTTTCACTATATGTAACATATATGGAATAAGTTGTCTGATTTGCGCTGTTTATTTATTCATGTTTAACATGTATAAATACATCAGTGGTTCATATAGTGAACTCGGTGTAGAGTTATTCACCTGAGGTCATCACAGAGGACAAGGGGGCACTCTTTACGTCTGGCGGAAAAGAAATTTAATTTCCAAACACGGAAAGGTTTCTTCACAGTGAGAGCTGTAAAAATGTGGAATAGACTCCCTCAAGAGTTGGTTCTGACCAGCTCAGTGGATTGCTTTAAAAAAGGCCTGGATTGTTTCCTAGATACACAGAATATAACTGGATACTAACATTTATAGGTAAAGTTGATCCAGGGAATATCAGATTGCCTCTCGGGGGATCAGGAAGGAATTTTTTTTCCCTGCAGCAGCAAATTGGATCATGCTTTGCTGGGTTTTTTTGCCTTCCTCTGCGTCAGCTGTGGGTATAGGATTATAACTTTTTTGTTGTTAATGGTTGGACTGGATGGACTTTTGTCTTTTTTCAGCCAGACTAAGTTTAACTATGTAACTATGTTAACTCTTTGTTACTCCTGTACTGATGAGAGGGACAAAATTTGTGCTAGGAAGGGGGGAGTTTGGAGGCGAATTGTGTTAGGAGGGGGGATTTGGGAGGAGGGGAGTTGCACTAGGAAAGGGAGTTTGGGAGAGGGATTGTGCTAGGACCAGGGATTTGGGAGTGGGGGGATTGTGCTAGGAGGGAAGATTGGGGGGGGCTGTGCTAAGGTGGGGGATTTGGGAGGGTTGTGCCAAGAGGGGGGTTTTGGCAAGGTTTGCCAGGAGTAGGGATTTGAGGGGGATTGTGCTAGGAAAAAGGATTTGGGAGCAGGGGTTGTGCTAGGTGGGGGTATTGGGGGGGGTGGATTTGTGAAATTCTAAAGGGTGCCATAACTGAAAAAAAAAAGGTTGAGAAACACTGGTTTAGATACCAGTATTGTTCACGAAGGTTCATTTAGCTCATCCCTAGTTAGGACATACCTTTATTTTTAAAGCTGAATATGTTTCTAGCGTCCTTCTAGTTAACTAGGGGAGCTAGAATTCTGATTGTCAGAGAGGAGGGCTGAGTAGCAGCCTGGGTATGATAGTCAGGAGGTCAAATTTTGGTCAGGGCTGGGAGACTCTGCTGGCCAGCTCCTCTGGAATTTCCCCCTGCTCTAGAGCTTTGGAGGAAGGTCTAGAGTTAGTGGGTGGATCTGAAGAGTGGCTGGCTTGTACTCTTGAGGGATGCTCACCACTCCCCAACAGGAGTCTTGGTAAGGGGCCAGGACAACCCTTAAAAGTAGAACAGCCTGATCAGTAGAGGGAGGAGGAGGAGAGTTGGAGGGGAGAGGTGGAAGAGAGAGAAGAATGTGAGGCTGGAGGCAGGAGCCTGTAAGGGAGCTCAGATGGAGAGGGGCTCACCTGCAGGCAAAGGACCTTGGAAGGTGAGAGAGGACCACCTGTGTGGCAGGGAAGAACGGCCCAGCTAGAAGGCCTGGTAGCAGCCATCACCCACAGGAGAGGGACCAAGTGAGTAAACCTGCACCCCCTGGACAAGAAAGGGGAAAGGAGCACTCTAGTGGGAAACTGGATTAGTTTTTTACACGGGACTGTTCACACTGCAAGCGGCAGGCACTGGATCCCCTGTCCAAGGATTCACCCAGTACAGCTGGATGAGGAGAGGATTCATTTGGGGTATGGGGTGGTACTACAGGAGATGCTGGCTAGCTCTCTAGAAGAGCAGCATTGCTGTCAAGCCCGGAGCAACCGGAATGGCCCATCAAGTTGCAAATGTCTTGTCTGCTCTACAGTGAAGTGCCTGCCATAACTTGTCAGCCTGCTTGCGGTTGTCCTGAGTGGCTTACCAATCTATACAGGTCCCTTTGCTGCTCAACAGGTGGCTCCTATAAAAGACTATGTACGCTGTGTACCAGCTAATGCCAGTGAACTGGCTAATGCTTCATTGCGCATACATCAGCAGATATTCCAGAGAAGCCAACCTCACCCTCTAGCCCTGCAGCATCAGTCTGGAAGGATCCAGTCAGTGTGGACAGCTTTTCCTCAGGTGAATTTACTGCCCCTTGGCCTAGAACTAGAGCCTAGAGCTGGGAAATTCAAATGCTGCTTCGCAGGGCCCCTACCCCTTGTGTCTGTCCAGGACTGGGGAGCAAGGACAAGTTGCCTCGGTTCTCAAGGTTCCAGAGGCTAATACAGCAGTAAGTGGCTCTGGAGTGGGGATGGGGCTACCCCTACATTCCCCAGAGTGTCATGGACATCATCGATGACTCCAGGCAAGAATGGGAGGACAATCTTTTCTAGGAATATTTGCATGTCCCTAAGTTCTTGAGGGGTCCCTACATTTACAGCTCTTTGGGGCCGATTTTTGGAAATTAAGGAGGAGTAGAGCAGAGGTCGTACCATCTACAAAGACAGAGTGATGGTCGTGAGGGCAGGAAGGCCTAACGTAACATACTCCATTTCTGCTCATAGGCCTCATGACTCCATCTTCAAACTACCCAGCCCTAAGCATTACTATTAAAGAGCACTCCCACCACATTTGGGTCTTGCCTATGGTTTTTCATACAGACTAAGCCAGACTTCATCTTTACCACCTGCGAATCCACTCAGTCTTTGTTATCTCTTAGGAGGGGCTCCTCCCCAAAGTGATGTTGACATTCTTTGTCTAGATAGCTAGCTAGAGTTAGAGCTGTGTTATGCACTCTATTGTCTTTCTTTCCCACTGTTTGCAGGTACTTCCAGGACGGCTGTCTTCCTGCTGGGTGCAAAGAAGACTTTTTTATGCAGGGTTTCCTTTGAGGGGGAGGCACTCCATAGCCATAATATATATGTATAAATGTTGTTGTACATATTTGCTTTTGCATTTTGCTATTAGCTGCAGAGAGTTGTAGCTAGGCTGTAAATATGTACATTTGTATATTACATTTATTTTTCTACAGTATCATTTATTTGCATATATTTTATTTTATTTCTCATTCACAGTTCTGTACCCTTTTTCCTTTCCCAGTTTTTTGTATGGGATGCCTTGCTCCTGGGCTCAGGAGCCATTCTTGTTTTACCCACAGCCGATGAGGACATGGCTGTGTATTTAGCGTGGGCGCATGTAGCGCCCTCCACGTAAGTTAGGGGGAGCTAGAATCCTGATTGTTAGAGAGAGGAGGGCTGAGTAACAGCCTGGGTGTGATAGTCAGGAAGTAAAAATTTGGTCAGGGCTGAGAGGATCTGCAGGCCAGTCCCTCTGGAATTTCCCCCCTGCTTTAGAGCTTTGGAGGAAGGTCTAGAGGCAGTGGGTAGATCTGAGAAGTAGCTGGTTTGTACTCTTGAGAGATCCTGGCCAATCCTCAATAGGAGGCTTGGGAAGGGGACAGGACAACCCTTAAAAGTAAGAAAGCCTGCTCAGCAGCAGGAGAAAGAAAGTTGGAGGGGAGAGGTGGAGGAGGGAGAAGGATGTGAGACTGGAGGCAGGGGCCTGTGAGGGGGCCAAGATGGAGAGAGACTCACCTGCAGGCAAAGGACCTTGGAAGTTGGAAAACTTGTACTTCACCCACCCCTTGAGAGAGGACCACCTGTGTGTCAGGGAAGGAGCGGCCCAGCTAGAAGGCCTAGTAGCAGCCACCGACCCACCAGCAGCACAGGAGAGAGATCAAGTGAGTAAACCTGCACCCGCTGGTTCAGTAAGGGGAAAGGAGCGCTCTAGTGGGAAACTGGATTCGCTTTTTACACGGGACTGTTCATACTACAAGTGGCAGAGATTCACCCAGTACAGCTGGATGAGGAGAGGATTATTCTGGGGTCTGGGGTGGTACTACAGGAGATGTTGGCTAGCTCTCCAGTAGGGAGACATTGCTGTAGAGACTTGTACATGTTTGCTAAGCAGTTTGTCCTTAGTTGCCCTTTCCCTTGGGTATCCCATACATGCCTTAACCTATCCAAGTTCTAAAACCCCTAAAAAAACTTCAAAACAAGCACAAGGACTGGTTTCTGTCTCCTGGTGCAAGTCAGAGTTAGGAAATGTGTGATTCCTGGCTATGCAGGACTATAGGGGGACCCAAATCTTCAGCAAGGGGTAGTGCTACATGTTTAACACTCTGAAATGTGGAACAGAGCTTGCCATGTGATGATTTAAATGAATAAAGGACTGACAAAATATAACAATTGGACATTGCAGCACAAAGAATCTGGATTCTGTAAAGGAATACTCTTGCAGGTACTACTTTTGTATTTCTATTATTAGTACTATCACCACGGTTTATTAAGTAAGACACCCCAGCTGCTGGTAAAAGTATATACTGTAGTATCTTTGTAGAAATACATTATTTCCTGAAGAAAAATGTATTTTCTTTCTCATTACAGTAATCGTGTGGCGACTCCCAAGTGCTGTTCCACATTTCAGACAGTGCAAAACACATACGTCTTTAAAAAGCAAAGGCTATATCCTAACTGACAATGAATTTTTTTTTTTCATTCAGCCAGCTGAAAACTGATACATGTATGAAAAGTTATGCTGTGTAAAAGTTGACATTTTAAACAGCAACATCTTGGAATATCTATGATCCCAAACCTAGCCCTTGTGTTTGCTAAGATTTACCGCTACCTATTATGTTGATTACGTCACAGTTGAGCCCCATTCACACTTACGAATGGGGTCATTTAAGATTATCCATGGGAGACTCAGAAGGTATATATGCAATTAGGTGTGGGCAGGAATTCAATTGAAAGCAATGGGAGCCTGACAGCAGCCATAGCTATTTGCGGCCATTCACATGTATTTAATCATGCAGCAATTACTTGTAGATGATCTGCCCGGGACGCAAACAGCCAGCATCCAGGGCCAATCATCTGCAAACAGCCAGCATCCAGGGCCAATCATCTGCAAACAGCCAGCATCCAGGGCCAATCATCTGCAGGTAATTGTTGTCAGGCTCCCATTGCTCTCAGTGGGACTTCCCAACCACACCTAATTGTATCCCCGCTGAGTCTCCCATTTGTGATTGCAAACATCCCATCTGCAAGAGTTTTTGTTAACCACTTGCCTACCAGGCACTTATACCCCCTTATTTAGATTCCTAGATTGTAAGCTCGTAAGAGTAGGGCCCTCTTACCCCTCGTACATTGTTTGTTGTTGTTGTACTGTGCCATGTATTGTCCCCCCTATTGTACAGCGCTGAGCAAACCCTTTGGCGCTATATAAACTCGTAGTAATAATAATAATAATAATAATTTACCAGGCCAATTTTCAGCTTTCAGCGCTGCCGCACTTTGATTGACAATTGAGCGGTCATGCAACATTGTACCCATATGAAATTTTGAACATTTTTTTTCTCACAAATAGAGCTTTCTTTTGGTGGTATTTAATCGCCGCTGGACGCTTTACTTTTTGCGCTATAAACAAAAAAAGTGCAAAAAATATGAAAAAAAAAAAAAAGTTTCTTTGTTTCTATTATAACATTTTTCAAACAGGTAATTTGTCCTCCTTCACTGATGTGCGTTGATGAGGCAGCACTGATGGGCACTGATAGGCGGCACTGATGGGCACTGATAGGCAGCACTAAAGGGCACTGATAGGCAGTACTAATGAGGTGGCACGGATAGGCGGCACTGATAGGCAACACTAATGAGGTGTCACGGATAGGCGGCACTAATATGCAGCACTGATAGGCGGCACTGATAGGTGACACTGATGATGGGTACTGATAGACAGCACTGACTGGCATCACTGCTGGGCACTGACTGGTGGCACTGACTGGCAGCACTGCTGGGCTGCACTGGTGGGTGGCACTGGTGGGCAGCACTGGTGGGTGGGCACAGGTGGGTGGCACTGGTGGGCACAGGTGGGTGGGCACAGGTGGGTGGCACTGCTGGGCACAGGTAGGTGGCACTTCTGGGCACAGGTGTGTGACACTGCAGAGTGGCACAGGTGGGTGCATTGCTGGGCACAGATGGGTGCACTGCTGGGCACAGGTGGGTGATCTGCTGGGCACAGGTGGGCGGAGCTAGTGGGCGCACTGCTGGGCACAGGTGGGCAGAACTTGTGGGTGGCACTGCTGGGCACCGATCATCAGGGCACTGATCATCAGTGCCCTGATGATCGGTGCCGATTCTCGCTCTGACAACTGCCGGTTCTCGGCAGTACTTTCCTCACGATCTGACAGCGTGAGGAAAGTGCAGCCGAGAACCGGCAATTGCATTTCCCTGTGATCAGCGTGTCATTGGACACCGCTGATCACGTGGTAAAGGCCGCTGTGATTGGCCTTTTACCACATCACGTGATCAGCTGTGTCCGTAGGACACAGCGATCACGGAGATCGCCGGGTGCGCGCCCCCTGGGGCGCGCAGGAGAGCGCGTTCTGGGAGGACGTCATATGACGTCCACCCAGAACTGGCCGGCCGCAGTGCAGCCGTCATTCGGCTATCTGCGGTCGGCAACTAGTTAATAAATGTTACATTATGCATATATACATTTTGTAAACAAGGACATACATAAGCATAAAAAAAAAACATTTATTGATGGTATTTGGTGTACACTGCCAAGTTCATTTACATAACAAGCATGCAGTATAATATCTTAAATATACATATAGAGTTAGGACAAAGTGGAAAACAAAATTCCCAGATCAATCCAACAAGAATGGAGAGGATTTTGCTAACCTTTTTGTACCATCAGATGTTTTCTTATATTGGGACTTAGAATTTATAATTTTACAACTAAAGACTTCTGTAGGACGGTCTAAACAAGTACCAAATCCAAGTACTTAGTGATGCACAAGCCTCATTAAGTAAACGAGAAACTTCCTTTACCATCCCTGACTGAGTCGAACCTTCCCTAATTTGTGTCTCACATGCTCCCACTTCCAGACACTGCACATCACAGAGTGTTTCTGCAACAGAGGCAGTGCTATCAATCCAGAAAGCAGTGGGTAGGACTAGGTGTGGCCAGGTTCTGATTGACCATCTACTGGTGTATGAATCAGCAGTAACAGTGCTGCCCTCTGCAATATTTTTCATGCCACTGTAGTGCAAGCAGTCATAATCTAAATGAGAGTGGAAACTCTGCTCTGAATTCAGGAGCAGTGCAGCATTGTTGCCACACCATCACAGGAAGCGATATTAAGTGGACTTCACTGGCGGGATCAGCTGGTAATTCTCAGACTTTGCAGGAGGATTAAGAGAAAACCATATGGTTTACTTTAGTTCTACTTTACCAAATAACATGCAAAATTGATATCACTGCAGTCATATTTTTTTTTAAATAAACAACATTCTTGGATGGATTTTTGGTTAATTCTGTGTAGTAGTGTTTAAAATGTTTTAACAACAGAGAGGATCTAAAAGGCCTTTTAGTTTTCAATTTGTGCAGAAAACCACCTGAACATCTGTTTCCCTCACAGAAGGTGTATTTGTCCGACACAGGCAATGTAGTTATGGGACCTTAAGGAGTTCTTTAAGTGGGCTGGCATCAATGCAGTGGTAATAACTTTGTAAACCTACTGTTCAAACAACACACAATTTGGTTTAGAGGGGCCCAAAAGACTTCCGGGTAAATTAAAAGTTTAATTGTTGGCTTATCCATATTCCAGTAAAATATTATGGCTAAAATTAAAAGTATCTCTTATTATTTTTAATTATTAAATGTATCTCCACATAAAACCTTTCTTTATTTTTGAGTAAGGAAAGGATTAGACCTTCTGTTTCTATTGCTGTCTGAGTCCTCATTAGGGAGATTCACCATTCTATTTGTACTGGTGAGCAAGAAAAAGATAGGGGAAAATCCCAAACTTTTTGACCTCATGAACACTGTGCTTAAATAAATGTTGCTTTCACTGGTGTTTGACTTTTTTTTTTTCAGCCTATATGTTAGCCTATATGTCTACTACGCACACATAGGTGTTTACAGGTGTATTAGGAGAAGAATGTTTATGGGCTAAAAAAAAAATCAAAAGAGCATTCAGGAGAGGAGCTGAAGAGCTGAAAAAACAGGTGACACGTCTAAACGCTTGTAAAATTATTTCACATACGTTTAGGCACGTTTGAGCATAAACGCATTCCAATAACCAGAATTAATTAATATTCTGGCCAATTAAATTCATTAATGTTCAAACGCATGACACGCCTAAATGTTTCTGCAATACCCGATGCTTTTTTTTAAGCACCTTGTCACCTGCTAGAAAAAGGGACATTTCCCAATGGTAAACAGATTCACAAAAAAAAAACTGTGCAGGAGTTTGAGAGTTGTCCTGAAACAAACAAATCTTTATAGGGAATACATGTCCAGGACAACTGTGTAAGAGGGGAATTCAAGACTTTTAGATTTCCCTCAAAATAATCATGTTGTGTTTGCAAAAGTAATTAGAGCTATTGCCCTGCGGCCAGGCACATCCACAAAAAAAATAAGGGTGCAGCTGATTTTCGTTCTTCCTCTTTTTTTCATAAACAAATGTAGCATTTGTTGTTGTACATGCATGTGTATCATTGGCTGTACTTGGGCACTGCTTTTTTTCCCGGGGTCAAAATGGACCCCATTTATTTGAAAAATACATTAGAGCTTTAATGCACCTTTGAGTGTGGGCGAGGACAGGGCCCCCAGGAGGGTGCCTGATTGTCCGTTCTCCCCTTTTTTTCATATTGAGAAGGTCGAGCCCCTGTTGTTCACATAAACCATATCTGCATGCCTCACAGAGCTCTTTGTTATGTGAACCTTCCAAGGGGCCATAGATTTTTGGCTTCAAATCTTGATATTGATCATTCACCCCATAGACCTTTCTTTGGATTTTATGGACTAAATTAGAAACAACTCTTGCAATGTTGTCAGGTGTCACCATTGGGTTTTCATTAGGACTGGAGCAACGTTCACAACCCTGCTTGAAAATCCTCATTTTCACTGTTCCACGTCTCAGACGTCTGTTTCGATTTAGAAGGAACAATACATATACCTTTTGATGAGTTCCAGCAGCGTGCACAAAGTGAGCAATGGAAGCTATAGAGAAAAGGAAAATACAATAGATTACAACTAGGGCTCTCTTTGTAATGCAGAGGATAAACAGTAATTTAGAAGGAAGCAGTAGTAATCAACAGACTAACTGCTAACTAAAGCAGACTAACTGATTTGCAATATTCTGCATCTCTTCATTCCGGAACAATGTGATGTTCCACTTGTAAAGTATGTACAACTATGGTATAGTTATAAATTCTAAGGTTGGCCATATAATGTGTATTAAACCAACTGTAAAATCTCATAAGAGCTGGGAATGATGCTACTCTGTGTTGTCAGATTTATAACACTGTCAGCACTGTAAATAAATGTCACTATTCTGTTAGTTCGTATCACTGAAGGATCCATAACTATTGACCTGTTAAGTCAGGAGTAGGCTGGGTATGATATACCTGTAACCATGATGCTCCTTAATTGGGAAGGAAAATTCACTACAGTCAATACTCGGATGCTGAACATCCCAACTTTTCAATAAATAATCTGTAACCATAAAGGAGAAGTACAGCCAAAGATGGCTATCTGTGATAACCACCTTCTGTGATGGAGCCAAGTGGGGAAACAGCCAAATCTACCCATGGATGGGCACCTGGCTCAGCCTCTTAGCAATCGACTGAGATTCTGAGCCAGCCGCTCCCGCCCCCTCCACAGCCCAGCGCTCTAGTGGGGGAAGGGAGCAGAGCAACAGCGGTGACTGACAGTCACCAGCTCTCTGCTCGTGGAGCACTGAGATCTGAGTGATCAGTGGTCTTTGGTCACTCAATTCTCAGTCTTAGAGCATTGGACCGATGCTGCATCCACCTAGGTAAGTATGATTTCTAAAAAAAAAAAAACATACGTTCTCTTTTAATTAGGATGCACACAGAGCAGAAGACTTCTTATGAAGAACAACGACTAGCAAAGATATTTAATAAAGCAACAATGATCAGTTATCTGAACCTCGGACTGCAGCAGGACGTTGTATATTTAGCAGCAGTATTACTACTGCTGCTAAATATAACAGCTTCATGCTCACAGCTCCTAGTTACTAGGAAGCCAGTGGCCACCGCCATCCCACCAATATATGACGCACCCCTGGCCCCCCATCTGTCATCTGAGAGATGACTGATCAAGAGCTGAATGAAAACATTGCGATGGGGAAGCTAGCTGCTAAAATTGACCAAATATGGTCATTACCAACAAGTCTTCCTCTTGGCAAATGCTTGTCACAAATAACAGGGTCTGAGGCCTGCGGCTGAATGTAAACAAATGGGTCAGAGTATTCCAGTTGACACCATTGACCAAATATGGACATGACCATATTTGGATAGTGACGTCACGGGGGATCCCAGGTATTGTCATTGACCAAACATGGTCATGTCCATGTTTGGTCAATGATGTCACCCAGCATACCCTGCTCCTTTGTTTACATTCTGCTGATGGCTGAGGAAATGTAATTTGCAGTGACTCTGAGTGAGGAGCAGCATTATTATCAGCAAGTCCACGATTGTTGTTCATTGTGATTGATGTAGATCTACATCGCTGGACAATGAGATTGACAATGGATTTCCATTGTGAGACTTTTATGTTTTGTTTTGGTTTTTTTTACAGTTTTTTATTTGCTTTCAATGTGTTTTGTGAACTACCCCTTTTTCATTCCAGTTGAGGGATGGCATCTGTGAGACCTCTTATACTTAAGGTATTTCCAGATGAATCACCATGGGGGCAAGGCATTTTGCCAGGGGGGCCCTCTGGTAAGGTATCCTTCCCATGATTGAGGACATATTGCCTTATATGGTTCAGGGGGGCCTGCATGCTTGGTGCCCCCACTTTCTTGGCCAGTCAGGCTGCATGCTGGGATAAGGGTATGGTGTGGATTTTGGGGAGACTCCATTTTTTTTTCTCATGGGATCCTCCCCTGATATCTACAACAGGCCCTCACAAAAGACAAGATATGTGTTTTAGGGGAGACCCTAGGCCATTTTTTTTCTTGTGTGGGTTCACCCATAACATCTATACTAGACCTTCATCTTATTTAGAAACAGAACATAGCGGCTAGGAAATGTAATTTACCAGTAATTTCACTGGTTTTTTTTCTTGTCGATTTTGCTGTAGTACATTGTATACACCATACAGATGTGCCATTTCACAGGCAGATTTAGAGTATCCCCCAAACATAGTATTTAAAGGAATTTTGCATTTGTAAGCCTTCACATGAAAACAAAGCTGAAAAAGATTCCTCCATTCCTTTTCTCTGCAGCCTCAGCTGCACTGGACAGTGAATAAATGGGAAGCTCTCTGCACTGAGCAGCTTCCTGTTCATTCACAAA